CCATCGAAAACACTAATTTTTTTGTAATTTTAATCAAAGTACCCATGACAGCTTGCCCATTATTACAATTTTGTGTGCATTCGATTTTTCCCAAAGTGGTGGGGTTATTATTTTATTCAGTGGATGTCTATTAGTTAAGGGATAATTGCATCAACGGTCCCAAATATTTCACTTTTTTACAAACTTTATTCTCACCATCACTTTGTGTCATCCACAGTCCCCAAACTTTTCAAAAATTAGCACATGAGATCCAAATGGATGACTCCTGTTAATTTGACCGTTAATTGGCTCAAAAATAAAATTTTAAAAATCTTAGGACTTCCACCATTTTCAAGCAATTTTAAAGTTTGAGATCTGAAAATTGTTCCAAAAAGATGGGTTTGATTTGGTGACAAACAATGGATAAAAATGAAGAATGATTGGGGAAGAAGAGAAGGTAATGGCGGAGGTAGCGATTGCTATTGGTTTTGCTCGATGGGGATGGGGTGAAGAAAATGATGAATAAGAAGAATTTTGTTGGGAGGGGAGGGGTGAAGATTTTTTATTTTAAATTTTTTATTTAATTATCATAATTATGTTTTTATGAAAATATATATAATTTTACTATTTTACTCTCTTTAATTTGGTCAAAATAGGTCAAGATTTTATTTTTTGGCAGTCAAATTAACATAGATCATTCATATTGATATCATGTGCTAATTTTTGAAAGGTTTGAGATTGTAGATGGCACAAAGTGAAAGTTAGGGTAAATTTTGCAAAAAAGTGAAAGGTTTAGGGCCACTATTGCAATTATCCCATTAGTTAATTAAAAACCTTAACTAATTTCTTTTTTGTCTTTGCTTAGACAATTTACCTAAGTATCATGTGATTTAACATAAAGTGTAAGGTTTAAAAATTAAGATTACTTTTTTACATAACCTAATTATAATCTGCCTTGTTTTAGGGGAAGTTTGTGTTGACTTTTTAATTATTTTTAGATTATTCTTGTTGTACATAATGTATGTATATAATGGTGTACATAACTCTAACATGAGATGAGATCCACCTGTGTGAATCCCACGGGTAGATCACATCCCATGTGAGAGTTATGTACAACATTATGTCCATATATTATGTATCCCTAGCATTACCCATTATTTTTTGTCTTCTAGATAAGGTGGGTAGTGCCAAAAAAATATAGACTTCGTTTGAAGTATGATTTGACACATATTTAGAAAAAAAAAATTTGTTATTTGTAAGCTGGGGATCCAAAAATAGTGTACACCGAGCTTAGATGACTTATAAGCCACATAACTCACAATTGTATGAGTAGTATTATTTAGGATCACTAGTGTTAAAATATCAGTTCATGTGGCACTAATGTAACATCTACTTTTCATTTAAGTTTATCTTATCGCGTCACATACTGATGTTGTATCACCTGTGGTGCTATATAAAATTATTCCATCTCCAATAACAACATATGTTCATGTTATCGCAGCTGCTACACATTAAAAAAAAAATTTGCATTGATAATTAGATATGTGCCATCTTAATGAATCAACTACTGTATTAGTACAGTGATTAATTCATATGAAAATCGTTATGATAATTGCTATCTTAATGAAGAAGATGAAGAGTTCGTAGATGTGGTGGATGACACTTGTGAATTGTTCCAATTTGACAAAACCAATTCCGAGATTCTCGTACAGTGGCTTGAAAACTTTTAGGGTGCTTTCGTGCGTGGAGATGCAGGGAAATTTTGAATTTAGTGCATTGGCTAGTAATGGATCTAAGATGAAATTTATATGGGAAAAATCGTAACTGCCATATTTTAATACTACTTTTTTCAGAAATATAAAATTTTCAGAACTTTTCAAAATTCAGCTCATAATTCAAGATTTTTTTTTTATATGAAAATAGATAATAATTGATTTATATAAGACCAGAATGTTACCTGAATTGGTGATTATTAAAAGATATTTATTTCTCTCTCTCTCTTACATTCCTTCCTTGAAAATAGGGGCGGACATTTTTTTCCAAAATCAAACCAAATAGAACTTGTCGGTTCGGCTGCGGTCCCTGGGTCAATTTTGGGACCATAAATCGAGAACTGATCGATTCTGACTCGATTATCCATACTGCCTTAAGAACCAACAGTGAATTTCTATTCTCCCGAACTTTTATGTTTATTTACACTAAGATGCATTAAATTTTTAAACACTAGATCCCAAAATTATCTCACGTTAAAATTTTATTTCCCATACGCTTTTCTCTTTTAAGTGAAGGAGTGATTGTTCTATTTCTTTTCTGGTTATAAAAGTTTTTTTTTCTTTACTTTACATAGGGTTTGACGTATATTCTTTTTAATAACATATTTTGTAAAAATTAATTTTTTGAAAAATTTGCAATTTAAAAGTAGAAAAATATTTTTTAGTTCATATGCAAATTTTTTTATTGAGAATTGAAAATAATTTTTTTAGAAACAATGTTTGGTATATTAGTTTTGATATATGAATCGCATTTATATAATAATTTCATATTGAAGTTGAAGTTGTTACTTGAACAAATACTAAAGATTACAATGGCTTTTCCCATTCCCTTTCTCATTGAACTATTTTTTTGGTACAAGTCAATCACACTAGGTGTTACCGTTGTTTACTAACACCATGTTTGCCCTCCATTATAATGTATTTTTCTCTCACTTCTTACAAATCATACATTTTTCAATAAAGTAATATTATACGTAAATTCAAAATTTTTTTTTTCAACCATACATTTTTCAAAAAATTACTATTCCTCTCATTATGATGTGAAATAATGAGGGCTAAACAAGACCTAATGAATGAATGAATGAATGGAAAAAAAAAAAAAAATTCGAGCTTGTAATTTGCCTTTTACAAGGACAAAGATAGAAGTAAAATTTTAAGGGAGCTAAAACTTTTCTAAGTTGAATATATAAAAAAGGAATATAAGGTTTTTCCTTTGTTCTTGGGTGCGTTTGATTGCAAGGGTGGAAAATGGATGGAAAGAAAATAATTTGCAGGGAAAATAATTGCCTAGAAAATATTTTGCAGGGAAAATGATTTCAAGTGTGTTTGATTGGTATAATTTTCCACCCGAAAAATTTTTAAATTTACTATTCATTTGGTTTTGTTTTATATGAAAAGTGTCTATTAAAGTGATAATTTTTTCCACAATTGGATATAAAATTTGTTTCCATTGCCAAAAAGTAAAAAAAAAAAAAAAGGAAAAAAAATATTTCCTAAAAAATCATTTTTTTTTATNGCCGCCGGGAGAATTTTTTCCCACAAAAAAGGCGGGAAAATTTTTTCATCAAAAACCCGGAAAATGCACACGTGTAGGGAAAATCCGGAAAATATTTTCCGTGGAAAATGTCGTCTATCAAACAGCCAAAAAAGTGAAAAGTGGAAAATATTTTCCTAATTCCCGAAAAAAAAAAGCCCTATCAATCGGGGCCTTAGATTGATTCCGTTCTACTGTAACTTCTAAAAGCAAAAAAATGGGTTTCAACATGAAAAATGCACAAAAATGAACCAAAGATCATAATTGGATTTCTTGAAATTAAGATAAACAACAAATTTAATAATCTCAAACACATCTCTATTTCAAATATACACAAGATCACCGGTACACTTAACACTTGGAAAGGAAATGAAAAATAAACCAAACTATGTGTACCTACTAAATACAGGAAATGAAATGAAAAATAAAGAGAAGAAAACTAAATAGCAAAACGTATGATCAGCAAATTAAGAGGCAGAAAAGGTGTGATACTTATCTTGATTCACAAAAAACTACTGCTTAGGACTACTTTATTTGTTTGCAAAATCTTCAAAAGAGATCATACCATTCGAGCCTTTTTTTTTTTCATTCTTTTCCCGGATGTCTGGAGAAAGCTGCAATCAAGAGGATTTCCCTAATCCTCTTATTGGTCATGTCAAACAAATGTTTCCAAATTCTTCTTGTATTGATGTGCGTAAGACAAAGGTCGTCGATTCGGCATTGGATAAAAGAAGCAACAGCTCTCAATCCTTAATTGTGCAACTCTGATCGAAGTATACGACATGCCAGAGTCAGAAGAACAATATTTTTACATCAAGCACAATTCTTAAGTACACAATACTGCACAATTCTTAGGTACACAAAACTGCTAGTTTTTCACAAGCATATTCTCATCTATATATAACTCTAATTACAGTGTCTCAACAATAACTCATTTCATCTTAAGAGGCTAAGAAAGCCATGAGATTGGCACAAGTATGCTGAAAGATCTGCTCTAAAAGAATACACTAACTAAAACTTATGTGCGTGGTGGCAGTGGGTAGGCTTGATTTACATCGTGCCTTGGATGAATTGGATATCGATGATGCCTTGGATGAATTGGAGAATGATCGTGCCTTGGATGAATTGGAGAACGATTACGCATTGGATGAATTGGAGAATTATCGTGTACTGGATGAACTGGAGAACGATCGTGCCTTGGATGAATTGGAGAACGATCGCGCCTTGGATGAACTGGAGAACGATCGAGCATTGGATGAATTGGAGAACAATCGTGTACTGGATGAATTGGAGAACGATCGCGCATTGGATGAATTGGAGAATTATCGTGTACTGGATGAATTGGAGAATGATCATGCCTTGGATGGACTGGAGAACGATCGCGCATTGGATGAATTGGAGAATGATCATGCCTTGGATGGACTGGAGAACGATCGCGCATTGGATGAATTGGAGAATGATCGCGCATTGGATGAATTGGAGAACGATCATGCCTTGGATGAATTGGAGAACGATATTTCAAAGGTTTCTGTGTCCGAGAAGATGCCTGATCCCAAGAATTTACTATAACATCTTTATGTTTCTCATGAACAGAATCAATGCGCTCGAGGATCTCAACAATTTCTCGCATGGATGGTCGGTTTTTTGGTTCACTTTCAATACATGATAGAGCAAGCTGAGCTGTTTGTATTGCTGATCTTGAAGGATATTTTCCTTCAAGACGAGAATCCATTATGTTCTTCAACTTCCTTTTGTCAAATAAAAGTGGCTTCACCCATTCAACAAGATTATGTTTCCCATCTGGTCGATTTTCGTCAAGTACCCTTAAACCTGTAAGCATTTCTACCAACACAACACCAAAACCATAAACGTCGCTCTTCACGTACAAATGCCCTGGTATATGGTTAAGAACAGCATTAGAATATGAACAATTAATCTTTTCATAATGCTAGACCTACTTCCTTTGCAAATTACCTGTGGCTATGTACTCAGGAGCAGCATAACCATTCGTCCCCATCACCCGTGTAGTCACGTGGGATTTACTAGGCGTTGGACCCATTTTCGCAAGGCCAAAATCTGATATCTTGGCATTGTATGACTGAAAGCAAATTTTAATCAATATGAAAAAATAAAAAGATTCTTCTAACTAATTAATCTTCTGTTTAAATAAATGAAATTATCAGTAAAGTCAATTTATTTCAATCAGAAATGTGCCCTTCAAGATTTATCCAGTTCTCAAAAGAGTAAAACAGCTCCTCTTTTTGGCAGAACAACTCTTAATTGGTAGTAAATCGTCTGTACAAAACTTACCCCGTCAAGCAATATGTTCGACGCCTTGAAGTCTCTATAGATAACTTTTCTGTCCGCTGCATGCAAAAACGCGAGTCCCCTAGCTGCTCCAATTAAAATCTTAAGCCTTGTGTCCCATGGAAGAGGCAGAACAGCAGAACCCCCTGAAAAGAACAGCAAATGAATATGGCCATCGGCTAATCTATGCAACATGAGAGACTACAAATATTTAAACACCCTTACTTCCGAAAAGGTGGTTCTCTAAGCTGCCCTTTTGCATGAACTCGTAAATAAGCAACAGCTCTTTATCCTCCCAGCAGTATCCCAACAGCTTAACCAGATTAGGATGAGAAAGCCTTCCAAGGAAATTTACCTCCGACTGTAGAGAGAAACGAAAAAACAAAATCAGACAAGTTCAGAAATAATTCAAGTTAACTACTGCTATAATGCTATTCATCAAATAAATTGGAAGAAAACTATAAGTTGCACTTGCTTTAAGGCCTCAGTTATAGTCACAGAATTTTAAAAATGGCTTAATTTTGGCAATCTACAAAACTTGTACAGAAAATGTTTGAAGCATTACTAGCATAACTTGGTGAAAACCTTCCTTGTTTCTTCATGTTAGAATTAGATAATCATCGTTCATAAATGAAAGAACCTCCCACAAGGCCCCTTATATCTCTCAATCCTTTCAGACTTGATACAATGATAAGCAAATTATTACAGCAAACATCAGTTTTTTCAACACTTGAAACGGAAAACATAAGTTGAAGTCCAAATTTTGAGTATCGAATTGTAATATAGTGCTTGAAGCACTTCATTTTCAACAAGAAGAATTGAACTAACAGCACAAATGAGAATTACCTGCCACTCTTGAAATCCTTGAGAGCTTTCGGCATTCAATTTCTTAACTGCAATTACGGTTGCACTTCCACCTTTCATCGTGCCTTTCTCATCGAGCCAACCTTTGTAGACCTTACCAAAGCCACCTTCTCCCAACACCGTATCACTTCTAAAATTTCTTGTTGCTGTCTTCAGCTCGGAAAAAGTGAACATTCTTAAATTGGGAAGAGGTAGTATTTGCCCCGATGGACTAGCCTCGTCCCATCCACTTGCAGCCGAGAATTGGCTGTTCCCGGAGACATTGCTGCTTCCTGTTGAAGACGTTGTATTACTGGCTGTCCGTGATGTTGCCACTGCAGTATACACACAATTTTAAGTTAGAACATAACCAAGAAAATCAAAGAGAGAGCAGATCTTGATTGATCTTGATTTTTTATGTATATGTTGATCATAAACCCAAAGATTGGTTATCGACAAAATAGATTCGTATTCACATACATTACGAGACATAATTCAAATCTAAGATCATCCCTACGGCCTACATGTTACTAATTACCAAATTAAAGGTATAAGAAAAAAATCACTAAAATTTGAAAAGCAATTTATACTTATAATCTCAGAGATGATAAATAAGTTATCGAATTCAAAATAATCGAATGTAACCAAACCTGAACTCAATTGCTCGGTTGTGATCGGGCTCTGGGTTTCCAAGGCAGAACTGAAGCAAATACCCATACCCAACTTTTCAATACTCGATCGGGCTAAACTATTTTCGTATATCTAATTCAAGAAACCCGTCAATCATATAATATTAGCAATTGATTGCTACCATTGATGTTCATTTTCTGATGAAATCTGCTTCTTTTCCTTCCTCCAACAATTATCTTGCTGACAATTTTCTACTTTATGGAGATTCTTGCCCAATTTTTATATTGCTAGTAACAGAAATTTTCAACAGAGACTTAGTCGTGGTATGGTGTAAGAAAAAAAAAACAATTAATGAAAATGCAAGCAAAGTCGAGTCAAATTGAGCGAACGTGATCAAGTCAAAGTTAATAGCCATTTTTGCAAGTGTTAAGAAGAAATTCAACGACAACGCATTAATGTTCATTTTTTATTAAATAAATAGAAAGAGAAAAGTATCCAAGTACCTCACTCAAACAATTGTAAATGTGAAAACAATTAGGGTAAATTGTTGTGGAGTTTCACGGTATTTCTAAGTCAAAATCAATAAATAATTTTAATCACAATTTTTTTTAATCAATTTTTCAGTCATACATTTCATTTATTTTTATTAAAATCTATTAAAAAAAATCTAAAATTTTGAAAAACCAAAGAATGTTAAATGTAGCAGACATATCCCAACTTTTAAAACGGTGCGAGTGGCATTCTACCAAATGAAAAATATCAACTTAGAAATTAAATGTCAAATCGACGCATCATTTGTGTCTAAAAGGGGAAAATTGATCGAATTTTTATTTCTCTATTTCAAAAAGTAAATCGATATTCACACTACTGTATTTGTTAATTACACCATATTTTAATACTAATGATCGTCCTAACCTTCGTCCATTTTACACTTATGTCCAAATTATTTTCCACTGCATTCATATCCTCAACTTTTTTATTAATTAGCACATATTATTTCTAATGATAGTTTTCCGTCCAAAAAAATCGTTAGGAGGGCATAAAAAACTTTAGTTCCTATTGTATTTTTAAATAAGCAAATTAAACAACAACTATATAATAGTTACAACGAAATATATATCCCTCATTTCAATATACATTAATAAAGTATTTGAATAGAAATCATTATAGAAAATATGTGCCAACTAATTGAAGGTCTTAATAGTTACAACGATTTTTGACGTGTGAATAAAGTTAATCGAACTAGACGATCATGTTCCATTAAATCCTATGTTTCAATTTTTTGCATTTTCACTTATATTTCAATGTTTCATTTTGAAAAACGTCTTTAGTCCAGATGTGTATTTAACGGTGGAACTAACAACAGATGGACAAAATGATATTTTTCACAATGAAACATGGAAATATGGGCGAAAATGCAATAACTTGAAACGTATAGACGTTTTTCACACTAAAGGTCAAACGTATGGACGTTTTATGCCAATAAACCTAGAAAAAAAATCTAAATCTTAGAAACAACTACATTTCACTAATAAAAATGAAGAAAAAATTTGTGTCCACCAGTTCAACTCTGACCCTTTAACTCTTTATTAAGTCGACGTTGGACTGATTTTTCAAACATTACATTTGACACAATCTTCAAGAAACATTGACTTGAATTAATACGTTTTTGGTCCAAAATTTCTTTGATTATCGACAGCAGCATGGTACAAGTCTTGTAAATTAAGATTTCCTTGTTAGGTTTTACTATTTAAACTCTTGGTATAGCATTGTCGTTCCTTTGTTGTTTATTGAATAAAAATTAAAATTGGTGGAGTTTTCCAAGTCTTTCAATTCCTTGTATTCGTGTGCAAATTAACGAATATTTGATGTCAATTTTCTAGTAATCAACTGATAATAGAAGATGACTGTATCGCGATATTCGTCTAAAATAAATGAGACTTCAATTGCACGTTCGTTCATCATTTGAAGTTACGCTTCCACCTACATCACATCAATAGGTTTTTGAATACTCGTGTTCCTTGCTTCCAGACAGTATGTTTTACTAACCGTCAATTTGTTTATCGTGATCTAAAATATCACCTTAAAATCAAAAAAAGTATAAAGCCTTATTTTATCGTGTTCACAATATGACAAATGTACGATTCTGACTTGATACTCTTTAAAGAGTGCATTGTAATTTCTTTACAAGTGTTGGAAATTATAGGGTATGGTATAATTTTCAATTATCAAGATAGACTTGCGAAAATTATGTCTTGAGTATTGACTTATAACTTTCTCTTTAGAGTTCAACCACGTCAAATTTCTCTCTCTCACACACACACACACATATATTCAATCTTCAAAGACAGAGCATTCACGCTTCTCATTCAAGGCTGGATAGATTCTTCTATGATCAAGCTGGCTGGAGCCATTACTAATTAATGAAATTGTAGTGGCAATAATTCAGTTTGGAGAAGCAACGTTCTTGACCCAAATTTGTGGGAAAATTCATAAATTGTAGTCAAAACTCAAAACCACAGATTGGTTCCCACTTCTCCGAAATTAATTCTTTTAAGTTTTAGCAATTTAAGTATTTTAAAATCTCTTGTAATATAAATTTCATGACTTATTTCAAAATACAACTATTCATTGCAAATTTTTTATAACCTAATAAATTCATACTACGTTAGGAGTGTTAAGTGTAACAAGCCGCTCGTTAGCTTGGCTCGCCCTACAACGAGCAAAGCAACGATTACTCACGAGCAGGCTCGCACTCGACTCGTCCCTTTTAACATCCTTACACTATACGATTAACTCATGATTGCTCTACTATAAAATTTAGAATCATAAATAGGTTGATAATGATCTAGTAATAAAATAGGGATAATTGCAGTAGCGGTACCAAATCTTTCGTTAGAAGACTTTATCCAAAACTTTCACTTGTGTCAATTACGGTATCAAACCTTTCAAAATGTCGCAGCTGAAGTCCAAATTGATGGTTTATGTTAGTTTGACTGTTAGTTGTTCAAATAATTGACATTGACAATAATTTTGATTAATTTTAAAAGGTTTAAATGGTAATTTTATGCTTCTATTTGAACCACATTAAAATTTTCATTTTCATTCTTCTTCTCATTTTCAATCACACATTTTTCAAAAAAATAATATTTTCCTCCACATCAATAATTTTTCCTTCTTTTTTAATCACATATTCTCCATCACATAAAAAAAATGCATTCTTGAATTGATAATGTGCACCAAACATGTGCTTATATCCACTCTCAAAATTGTATTATATATTCGTTGACCGATTATTCGACATTTGTTCTATGCAATGCTATGCATGGTTTGGTTTGGTTTGGGATATTAGCACTGGTCATGTGCACAGCATCGAAGGCAGATGTGACAACATTGGGATCGATCCCAAGTTACCTAGGCAACAAAAAAATGCGCACTCTACCTCGTATAACTCCTACCTGCTAAAATGCGCTCCATGACCGTTGAGATTTGTGCACAAGTTAACTTTTTTTTCCCCCCGAGACGCACGTAAAGTAATTGAGCTAAACGGTGCCGGGGTCCACGTTTTACCCAATAATGAAAACGTATGACGCCATTCTCGCCGCTTGTTTGTCACGTGACCGTATAAATTTTTGACTGCAAAATTGACGCCGTTAACTTTGCAGTAAAATCCCCTTAAATTTCGGTGAGACGTTACTCGTGGGACCCTCTTATCAACGGCTAGTTCGGTGAATTACCAGACACCCAAGTTTCATTTTCTTCGGCCTTCGGGGCTTTTTTTTCTGTTTCATTTAATGCAGCCTTTTAAATTGAATAAGCTGTGGAGGATATGGCTTGTATTGGTCAAGAATGCAACAAACGGTCCCTTCTAATATTTATTTATTTTTGGCATTTTGAAAACAACTTTGATATATTCACACATAATAAATGTCCAATCACTTAAAATTGTGATTGAGATCATACGAAAAATTGCGATACTAAACAAGTTTCGTACAAGATAACAATGATGTTTCAATTATCGTTAATCATTTTTCCTTGCTTACCAAAAACAAAAGTCTCAAATATAGTCATAAGATCACGTGTCGAGCTAACATCTGCCTCAGTGTTAAAAGATCGAGGACGTTGATGACGTGATAAACGATGATCGTAAGTATATTACCTCTTATGGTGAATTCTTTGTTGGATAAATTTGAACAAGCACAAACTACCTCTCTTCCTTGCTATGTTATAGCACTTCATTTTCGAGGTTTAAAAATTTCGGGAATAATGTTATACCATGATATAACATCATGTATCAATCCACTTGACTTAGAAAATGAATAAATTCTAAAAGGGGGACCTCTTTGTGCTTGTATATGATTGTTTGCATGCTTTTTGCTAACATTTTTATGCAGTGGCTTTGCACTTTATCGACCCTCATTGAAGACATAAAGATTTGAAGTTGATGCTTTTCTGCATTTTCTATGTTAATGGCTGACCGCTGGCTGATAGATTGCAGATGGATTCACCTTCCCAAAATAAAGTCACCCTAATTCTTTATTGAAATAAAGCAAAATCGGTGGTCAGTTACACTTTCATCAATTGTGATCTTTCCACCAACTCATCCACGGATTGTGGAGGGTTAAACTTAATATGCTTTCAATGCATAATTGAAATTAAGTTACAATGGAGAAATACTCTAGCAAATCAAAAGAATTGGATAATATTTGTTTTATGGGTATTTTATATTTATTCCACAGTAGTGAGGAAGATAATATCGAAATCACTAGTTTTAAGGTCGATTGAAAAAAATCTTTGCGCTCCATAGCCCATTCAGAAAAAAAAAATCAACGTATATTAGATCATATAAAATATATCGATCATCATCAGTTTAGAGTCAATAACCCTCGGTCAACATTACTAATCTAGGTGATAGGGAGTTATTGTCTAATAATAGATAGTATTATTTCTTTCAAAGTACGTACATTTTAATTTAGTCCTAAATCTTTTAACGCACCGTGAGTTGTGTACATAAATTTATGGAAAATAAATATTACAATTTAAAGTTCTATCCTCGATTGGTTTATTTCCCACATATTTCTTGTTCA